GGGGGGGGGGAGTCACAGGTAGTGGGAGAACAGGGCACTAATCCACCCAAAGGGAGGGTACTGTTTATACCTCCACAGGGAAAGAGGGACCAGACAAACCCAGCGTTCCAAGAGGAGAATGCAACACACTGGCATGAAGCAGGGAACCAAAAGAGAGGCCTGAGGGGCCGGCCCCATTACCAACTAAGTGGACAGTACAGTACCTCCCTCCCCCGCCTCCCAAAGAATTAATTTCAGAGGACAGCATTGAAGCTACAGCTCAGGGAGAGGGGCATGTCTGATCAGAGCACACAGGAGCAAATGAAGTGGGAGGGAAAAAGAGTGAAGCACATCCTGGCCCACCAAGCCCTGAGGACTGTATTTCTGCTCAGAGCAGCCAATGCAGAGAGGACCATAGGGCTGGCCCAACCAAGAGACAGGACGTCCCTCACTGACCCATAGCACTAGGGGGGACAACACTGGAGACACATTGCAGGAATTGTGCCTGATCTGACCCCACCACACCAAGGCAAAACACTAAGGGCGTACAACAGAATAGCAAGGGGAGCAGAGCAATGAAGTCCTCAGGAAACACTAAAAATAGACTGTGGGGCCAGGGTGCATCAGACTCGACTGGAACACACTCATAAAGATCAACAAATAGACACTGAACTACTTATAAGGCTTTTCTTTTTTTAATTGTTGGCTTTTTTGGTTTTTGTTGTTGGAGTTATTGTTTCATTTTCTATTGCTGCTTTGTTTTGCTCGGTCTTGTGTCTATGTACATTATCATCTCTGCATATCTATCTAGATAGGTGGGATAAACAGCCTGAGGAGAAAACAACAGGACAACAGTTCTGGGGCAACATGGGAGAGTGGGGAGGCGGGGGAAAGCAAGTGGGTGCTAATAAACCAGGGAAAAGGGAACAACTGACCAAAAATCGATGGTGAGGATGGTGTAGGAAGCCTGGTAGGGCTTGATCAAGGGCAATGTAACTGAGAGGAATTACTGAAACCCAAATGAAGGCTGAACATGCTAGTGGGACAAGAGGAGAGTTAAAGGAAATAGCGGAAAGGACTGGGAGGCAAAGGGCATTTACAGAGTTCTAAATATAGGCATGTACATATGTAAATATATTTATATATGAGGATGGGGTAATAGATCTAGGTGCATATATTTATAGGTTTAGTATTAGGGAAGCAGATGGACATTGGGCCTCTACTCAAGTACTACCTCAACACAAGAACACTTTGTTTTAATAATCCCGCATTCTGAGATGCTCACCTTTCCGACACAATCACTGAAGACAAATAGGTGCATAAGCAAATGTGAAGAAAGCAGATGGTCCCGGCTATCAAAAGAGATAGCATCTGGGTCCTTAAAGGCTTGAAGATAAGCAAGTGGCTATCTAGCTGAGAAGCAACAGAGCCCACATGGAAGAAGCACAACAGCCTGTGTAATCTTGAGGTGTCGAAGGTATCAGGTATCAAAACCCAGAACAAAATATCACGTCAATGTGAATGGGGGGTGTGGAGTGGAGTGCGTGCAGACTGGAAGTCCAAAGCCAATCTGTAGGCAATTGGACATCCCCTTACAGAAGGGTCTCGGGGAGAAGACAGGCCAATCAGGGGGCAGTGTAGCACCGATGATACACACCTTTCGTCTGGTTCTTCAGTGCTTCCTCACCCCCACTATCATGACCCTAATTCTACCTTACAAATCTGGCTAGACCAGAGCATGTACATGGGTACAGATATGAGCTGGAAACACAGGGAATACAGGACAGGTAAACTCCTCAGGACCAACATTGAGAGTGCCCACACCAGGAGGGTAAGGGGAATGTGGGGGGAAAATGGGGGAACCGATCACAATGACCTACCTATAACTCCCTCCCAGGGGGATGGACAACAGATAAGGGGGTAAAGGAGACAACGGACAGTGCAAGACATGGAAAAATAATGAGAATTTATAAATTATCAAGGGTTCATGAGGGAGGGAGGGGCATAAAACTGAGTAGCTGATACCAAGGGCTCAAGTAGTTCGAAAATGTTTTGGAAATGATGATGGCAACAAATGTACAAATGTGCTTGACACAATGGATGTTAAATATGGATAGTGATAAGAGTTGTACGAGCCCCCAATAAAATGACTTAAAAAAATAAATAAGGGCCAATGGAATTGGTCTTTGTAATACTTAAAGAGTTCAATAGAAGTAAAGTACACTGAATGAAACATACCTTTCACGTAACTTGCAATGGCTTCTTTGGTGTCCCGCTCTGGGTCAATAGTGATGAAAAGTGGAGTTAAGTTTGGCAGCGTTGGAATACCATCTGAAACAAACTTCTTGTTAGTCAGCACTCACATTCTGAGGAAGGAGACATAACTTCCTCAGGGTGGGGGATATACTCAGGGACAGCTAATATTTAGGTGGGGGAGGGAGAGGGGTGGTCTTCAGGATGAACTGACCCCCCCTATCATCTGGGAAAGGAGCAGATACAGTCCAGTGTGCAAAGATTTTACTACCTCATACTGTCCCCTATTCTAATCCTAAGGAGCTCTAATGGTCTCGTGCATAAAGCGTTGGACTGAAAGGTCAGTGGTTCAAACTCATCAGCTGCTCCTCAGGAGAAAAATGAGGCAGCCTGGTTCCACAAACATTTAGTCTTAGGACCCAACGGGGACAGTTCTTCCCTGTCCTATAGGGTCACTATGAGGGAGAATTGACTCAGTGGCAGTGTGTCTGGTTTGGGTTCTAACCCTAACAATGTTTAGAGTACCACATCTACCCACCCTAACCCTGCCCCCACATTTTTAATGTCAAGGGAAGGTAAACTGTAGGACTTGAGTTTCCTAGAGAAAAGCCATCTAAGAAGGAAGCACCTGTACAATCTAGTACAGTACCTTCTGGACCTGACAACACACAAACTCACTGCCACTGCGTCAACAGTGACTCAGATAGACCCCGTGGGTAGAACTGGCCCTGTGAGTTTCCAAGACTAATTCTTTACGAGAGTAGAAAGCCTCATCCTTCTCCCTTGAACAGGTGGTGGGTTCGAACTGCTGACCTTGTTTGTGGTTAGCAGCCCAACATGTAACCAGTCCGCACCAGGACATGACCGGTATGAAGAAGTAGCGCTGCCTCTAATTCCAAAGATCCGAGAGTTCCCATGACATCAGAGAGTCTCCCAGGAAAAGGCAATGGCTGTGACAGTGAGGACAAGGAGGAACACAGTGGGAGTGAAGGGAGCCCTGAGCCACACCCACATGTCTAAGGGATCCGACATTTATTGCTAAACCAGCTTCCTTCAGTGAAGAATAAGGCCAGAGGTATCAAAGAAATAGACCAGCCCAGAGCTGAGATCCTTGGTTCTCACAAAGTAAACAATTACACGCCTGGTGCAGTAATTCAAGAACATGAAAAACATAGCATCACTAAGAATATTAAGGAAACCTTTTTTTTTTTTATCACGATGGCCTCCTTACCTATTTCATCCACAACTTGAATCATTTTTTCTAGTTCTTCGGGGCAGATATCAGGGCAATGAGTGAAACCGAAATAAATCAGAACCCACTGGCCCAGGTAGTCTTTGTCAGTTTTAGGCTCTCCAACGTGAGTTGTGAGACAAAACGGTCCTCCAAGTAAAGGTTTCCCCAGGGATCGATGGCGTTCCTTCTCCAGTTCTTAAAAGACAGACAGACAGACACACACACAAGAGGTTAGTAGGATATTAATGACAATGGGATCACACAAGGTTGACACACTTCTCTACACTTTCAAGGAGCTTCAAAGATCTTTTAAGATAAACAGGCATGACATGATACAATACAATCAAATAATATGCTATGGTATTTAAAAAGGGATTTAACAAGGAAAGTGGTTAAAACAGGTCTACCTCTTTGGGGAGAATTCAGTCCTAAGCCATGAGGTATGGCTAGGCTGAAACCAAAGTGAATGAAGGGTGTATGTGAACTATCTATAACACATTTGCAACTCTTCGAAAATCATAAATTATTTCAAAATAAACTATTAAAAGAAAAGAGGTGGTAGTCCACAGCTCCATCAGTAGGAAGGGTTTCCTTAGGAAGTGATCATAAGATGTTATCTACGTACTTTCCGTCTTTTGTTTCTTGAAGTACTTCATACAGGCCAGTATAGCTCCTCCCACAGCAAATGTCAAGGCTAAAGACTTCCAGGAAACAGGCTACTGGGGCAGATTTCAAAAACAAAACCACTGGTGAGATGCGAACATTTAGCCACCCTAAATGTATTAGTTTTTTAATACACACACACACACATAACACAGGCCCTGATGTTGTTAACTGCAAAGAGCGGTCCAAGATGCTTTTGGATGAGAAAACGCTGCATGTTTCTATGCATTCAATTCCGTCCGAGTCCAAATTCAAGGGCACTCAATTACTGGGGGATATTCCCCGGGTCAATTTCTTCTCATGTGACAACCAATCCAAAGCAACTCAAACACCAAGGTAATTATGCTGGCTACTAGCTGGGCCCCTGAGCCCCACTGCCTGTGCTGACCCTGAGAACAGAACCAGCTCAAGCCTCCCCTCTGTGCTGCAAATCCTCAGCGCTGTGCGGAGAACACTGCGAGAGATGGAGCTTCAGTTCACCCAGAGGGGCCTCAGAAACTAAGTCTGGAGATCAATTTCTGCACAGTCAGCCGTAGAAAAGTGTATGGAGCACAGTTCTAGTCTGACAGACCCACACGGGGCTGCCATCAGTTGGGGTCGGCTTGAAAGCGACTGGTGGTGGCTAGACTTGCCGAAGTCAAGTCACAGGGGAAGACATCTACAAGTGGAACTGCCCTCCCATGCGTTCCCACGGACTCTCAGGCAAGGCCCCAAATAAGACGTCAATATGCACACTCATCGCCGCAGAACTATTCTCAATCGCTAGAAGATGCAAACACGCGCCAAAACTCACTCAACGAGTCACTTTGCTTCAATTGCAACGTATTCCCGGTCTCTGCACAGGGGAAATCAAGTGACAGAACTTATAAAAGTGCTACGACTCCTGGTAAATCGAAGGCCGAGAGGTTTGAGAAAACCTGAAACGTACTTCTATTACTTTGACTTTGACCCAAGGGCTAACGGCAGTTCAAGTCCGAGCATCTAAGCGCACGGAGAGGATGTGGTTTCGCTCGTCCTCTCGGAGATCTGGGTGAACCAGGGAAAACGGGGGTGAGCCCAGGTCGAGTGGTTTTGGAGGCGATGAGCAGGAGGGATGGGAAGGGCCCCGGGGCGTCTGACAGCCGCGACGAGTAATGGACTCACCCCAGGCTTCGAGGGGCGCGTGGGATCTTCGCTGCCCTTCGACCCCGGCTCGGACGACCCTGGCGGCGGGGGCACGGCCGTGCTAAAGGCCCGGCTTCCGGGGCAGCTGCCTGCGAGCCCGAAGGCTCGCCACGCCTGTTCCCGGCGCGCACAGAATGGCCTCCGCATGGCTCCCCAGCTCGCGCTCCAGAGCCGGAGTCCGCGAGGGAAGAGGCACCAAGGCGGGCCACCGGGGGACAGCACTGCCCTTCCTCCTCTGAGCAAGCGAGCCGCCATGAGCGAGGGACCACGCCTCCTTAGGCCCGCCTCCAGACTTCCGGTGCCGGTGCCACTTCCGCTTCCGGTCCGGCGTAACCTCTCTCTCCGCCCGCCGTCGCTCTATGGTTGCGCGGGAGTCGCCGGGAATCCAGGGACGTTTCTGGGAGGACCCTGGCGGCGGTAGGTGGGTACTTGGCACCGCGGGCCTAGTCCGCTGTGTCTCGGCGCGGGCTGCCAGGCCTAGGCTGGCAGGGGAGGGGCGAGCGGGCGGCGGAAGTGGCCGTTGCCTGGGCTGCGGCTAGTGGACCACGAGCGTGGGGGACACCCGCACTGGATTGAAGGGCCCGGGCTTGGACGCAGCACTCAGCTCCTAGCCCCGCTGGGTGCACCTCGGAGAAGCTGTCCCTCACCCTCGCCCCCACCTTGTCGCGTCGCGCTGCCCAGGTGGGCCAAGTGGCACCGCAAAGTGGTGGAATCCCTGGCATCTTCGAAGGAGACGCCGACCCGTTGCGTTTGAAATAATCCTTGGAGGCGTCATAGGTTTCGCGTGGGCTGCTCACCGGCAGGCCTGCAATTCCAAACCACCAGCTGATCGGCTGCAGACAGGTTTTCTGGCTCTCGTACAGAATGAGTCTGGGAAACTGCCAGGGGCAGTTTGACCCTCTCCTGTAAGGTGGTTGGGATCCAGAAATTGCTGGATGGCAATGGGAGGATTATTTGCCAGGCGAGGGCCACCAGGACTAGGTGGGTGTGACTTGGAAGCGCGCCCTGCTTCCATTGATCCCCACAGTATACTATTAAGTGGTGTTGAAGCACAGCACTATACAAACATGAGGGGGTTTCAGAAAGTGCGAAGTGTGCACTGCAGCAATCCCACCTGGAATTTTGTTTCTTTACGCCCCAGTTTCGACTGTAAAATACCTTATGATTCAGGAGCCCTTCGCTGTTTCAGTTTTACGTTTGTTTGTTTGACCTCAGCAGGGACAAATTTACCTTGCTTCGATACAGGTCCCTTACCGATAAAGGTGAAACCCCAAAAATCAAATTCACTGCCTCAAGTCCATTCTGACTCATAATGACCCCATATAAGGTTTTTGAGGCAGTAAATCTTTACAGGAGCAGACAGCCTCATATTTCCCTGGAGGAGTGGTTGTGTTCAAATCCAGGGCGTTTTAATATTTATGGGCAGTGCCATCCGGACACCTTGATAAGATTAAGAGCATGCATATTTTTAGTTCCTTGTGAAAGCTGCTTGATCGTGCATTCCTTCCACCTGTTTTAGTGTCTGCTCTGGTGTGCAAGACACTCCCCCCCCCCACACACACACACCCACACATGCACTGCCACACACACACACCCACACACACACAACCATGGTTGGTTTGCAAAATAACAAAGCAAGAGGATTGCTATGAGTGAGAATCTACGCAATGGCAGTGAGTTTGATTTAGTTTGACTTCTCTTCCTTCATTATACCCATCCTGGTCTATGTGGTGTCCCCACCCCACCCCCAAAAGCTGCTGCAGAGGTTAGGGGCCCTGGTGTCGTGGGTTACAGTAGCCACTCGGTGGGAGAAAGAGGATGCTTTCTGCCCCCCTAGCATTACAGCCTCCGAAAACTACAGGGCGGTTCTCCCCTGTCTCTGAATCAGAATGGACCCCACGGCAGTGAGCTTGGTTTTGTCACCAAGGCAGGAAGACCTTGTACCTTCGTGACTGTGGGGCGGAGCCTTGGTGGTGTAGTGGTTAAGCCCTGGCTGCGATGGTCGGCAGTTCAAAACCACCAGCAGCTCCCTGAAGAAAGACTGAACTTTCTAGTCCCATAAACAGTTACAGCTTCGGAAGCGCACAGGGCTCACTATGAGTCAGCATTGACTCGATGGCAGTGAGAGAGTGACTGAGGGACAGAGGTGTGGCCTTCGTCTTGGGTTGATAGCTCACGTGGGTAAGCACCTTCAGGAGAGGCTGGGAGCTTGAACCCACCGAGTGTGAAGACAGGCCTAGAGGAAGTTGTCACAGCTATGAGAATCCCATGGAGCGCAGGTCTCTGCAGCCCTGGGCCTTGCTCAGAATAGGTGCGAACACTGTATATATTGGATAAGTGAGTTACTAGGGTGGTACAGTGTACAGTCAGTGAATATCTGCCATCATCTTCGATACTAGATACTAGGGTGGGATTACGCAGATAAGGCATTTATGGCCCACCGATGGGATTGGACAGTCTGCTGCAGATGAAAAGACAGTATGTGGTTAAGTTTATGTGTCAACATCACCGAACCATGGTTTTCAGTAGTTTGACAGTTATATAAGGATGAAGTTTGGCAGTTATGTAGTAATGTCATCACTGTTTTGATCATCTGTAAATACCCTTTGTTTGGGGCAGTTAGTTGTCTCTTACGTTGACGAGGCAGGATTAGAGTGGAATGCCTCCTGAGTCCTTGCTTTACTAGAAGGGCTGACTCAAGTCACCATCTTTCATATCCTTGTACTGCATTGCTCAAATAAGGGGCGTTCCCTTGAGGGTCTAAAGAGCTCGAAGTCCACCTTTCAAACCCACCATATGCTCCATGGGAGAGCTAAGAGACTGTGAAGATTTACAGCCCTGAAAACTTTCTAATAGGATTGCTGTTAGAATCAGCTCAACGACAGGGGGACTAGTGTTTCCTTGAAGGTCCAGGGTTAGGGATGCTGCCCTCCTTGCTGTTGAAAACCTGCATACAATTTTAACTCCCCCACAGATAGCTTACAATTGACTAGCAGTCTTAACCAACAGCAGTTGGTTAACACTTTTTATATGTGTATTATATTCTGCACTCATATAAATGCTGTTTTCAAAGTGCAAGATTTTCCACCTACCGATTTAGCTGCTGCCCCAGCTTCCTGAATTTCCTTCTGTGTTTATACAATGGTTCTTATGCCAGTGTTGGCTACCCTGTTAGCAGAGGGCACGCAGCAGTTTCACGCATTGACCCAGACTGCCGTGGAGCCGGTTCTGACTCCGGAGGACAGGGTAGAAGGGCCCCGTGGGTTTCTGAGATGGCACTCTTGATGGGAATGGAAAAGCCCATCTTCCTCTCCCTGCCGGAGGTTCTGAACAGCTCGTGTTCGGGTTTACAGTTGACTGCGTACCCAGGGCTCCCACTTTTGTGTAGTAGACCTAGCAAAGACCAGCCTGGTGCTTCCTGAACCTTGGTGGGTCATGTGCCTGCTGGCCTGGGGCTGGGGCTTTCCTGACAGTCCAGGTTTCTGCTGCTCCTCCTCCCCCAGCCAGAGGTCAAACCACATGGACTGAGAATGAGGAATTGGGTAGATGCCTAAAGGGAGTGCTGTTACCAGAAGAACAGGAAATGAATGCTGGGTAGGCAAAAATAGCAACTGTCTAATGGAGAGAAGATCACATTAATTGGGACTAAATTCCCTATAGAAAACCCATAGTACATGTTATCTCCTTCAGGCGGAGCAGTCTCATGGTGATAAAGCCCTTAAACCTTGTTTAAAGGTAAAAATGAACAGCTCGTTTGGCAGGGAATAACAGCATTCCCAGAAACCGTTTTCCCTTACGCCTTGCGAATTGCTTTGTAATGTAGTTGCTAACTTATTATTATTATTACTATTTTGTTTGACCACCTTGTTAATCTGTCCTTGGAATCATACACACATATCAGCGTGCACGCACACACAGACACACAACCTAACAGACCGTGGACTTTCCACTGACACAGTGAAGTTTGCGTTTCTTGTCGTTGCATCTTGAGCTCTTGACCTTGGAGCTCCGGTATCCCCCACCTCCCACTGTTTACACCAGTGCGCTTCCACGTGGGGCCTGAGGAAGACAGGAGCAGATACAAAGAAGCCATCCTAATGATGAGCACACCCACGCTCGTCTCATTACTTAGCGTTTCTTTGCCTTTCCTGGTGCGATTGCAGGGCTCCTGAGACCCACCAAGGTAGTGCACTGTTTAAAGAGCCCACTGCTAACCAGGTGGCTGAGCTGGAAACTGCCAGTTGCTTCAAAGTAGAAAGATGGGTCAGTCTGCTTCTGTCAAGATTTATTGGCTTGGAAAACCCTGTGGGGCAATTTTTGGTTTATAGGGTTGCTCAATCCAATGGCAGTGGGTTTGAGTTTTTATTCAACCAGATTAATGTGAAAAGGAGAGTAAGCTAAAGCGTTCAATTGGGCGAGCCGGATAGAAAGCGTATCATTAGTGACAGTAGTTTTAGGATGAAAACCAAACCCAAACCAAATCCTTTGCCATTAAATGGGTTCCGACTCCTAACGAGTTTCTTAGCCTCATCCCTCTTGCAGGAAGCAGTTGGTGAGTTTGAACCCTGGATCTTGTAGTTGGCAGCCAACTTCTAACACACAGCACCACCAGGGCTCGAGGGCCCTCATTCTCAGGTAAGTAAAACTGACGCCTGGTTTTTCTGGTTGGCTGTGAGTCACTGCTGCTGTCTCTGATGAAGGGGCACTTACTTGATTGGGTCTCAGGATCTGCAGAGCGTTGAGGAGACTGCCAACCGGTTCATTAGGCAAACGACCGGAAATGAGAGTCTGAAATTAATGTTAGGGCTTCCAAAGCAATCCTTAGAAACAATTAAGTTTTAATAATCATTTCAGAGTTGTAGCAACAGTTTGTACTATAATCTTTTTCATTAAAAAATAGCCCATCATTCAGGATCTAGGTCTTTCATTTTGTTTTCATTCCTAATGTTCTCGGTTCTTTTAAGAGTTGTTTATGAATTTGTATGCAAGTACTAACAAAATGGGTTTTTTTCCTTTTGTTTTGTGGAGTAAGTTTAAGTCTCTTGCTCTTCATAGTCACAATGCGAGGCAGAAACGATAGTGAGAAGAATAAATATTTCCTGATTCAGTTGCGAGGGCAGAGGGGTTAATATTCAGTTTGAAAAAAAGTTAGACTTAGACGTCAACTATTAATATAGAACCACTGCTCGCAGAAATGACAGTAATCACATTAGCATTATAGATAGTTTTATGCCAGTTTTTAAAAAGATGAAAATAATTCCTCTCAAAATACATCTACATATTTGAGTAAAAAGTATAATTCTTCCCCCCTCCTCCTTTCACAGCTTCATTGCTTCCTTTTGATATTGCAGATATGAAATCAGAGAAACACCCTCCCCCCAGCAGAGAGAACCAAGACTTTGCCTGATAGAAAGTCACCCACACTGGGGACCTACCTAATGCCTTAGGAGAAGGAGCTAGTGAAACACTCAACCTTCAATATAACCTTGAAGCTTTGATAGGATCATTGCAGTGTGCGTGTTTAGTCCCATTTAGAATTTGTGCATATTTTGTCAAAATTAGAAATGATTCCAGATTTGAATGGCTTTACTACAATTAGAGCGTTTATTCTTTAATAGGATGAAGGTACTTTTTGTAAATTGATACTCTCCTAAAGGATAAAAGTTGCTCATAGTTATTCATAGATAAAATAAAAGTTATTCATAGATAAAACAAATGGAAGTATTGGAAAGGCATGGTAATTTGGACCTATGACGACCCAAAGGCCATGCACTTTTCTGTATACTACAAGTGGTTGGTAATGAAATCATTAAATGTTCTATAGTACAGTTGGAAGATCGGGATGTTTATAATTTACTTATCGCATTCTTTCGTTGACAAGAGAGCTGTTTGGAGGCGATGGATGATCAGTCGGACCCTGGGCCCCTCAGGGAGGGTTCAAAGGCCCTCTTCTCCTTCGGAGTTATAGCAGACATTCAGTACGCAGACTTAGAGGACGGCTTTAACTTCTTCGGGACCAGGAAGAGATACTACAGGCACAGTCTGCTTCATTTGCAGGGGGCTATTGACGACTGGACCAGAGAAGGCCGTGTGCCCGGCTTTGTACTTCAGCTTGGAGATCTCATCGATGGGTACAATGCACAGCATCAAACATCAGAAAAGTCCCTAGAACTTGTTATGAACACATTCAAAATGCTTACAGTTCCAGTTCACCATGCCTGGGGGAATCATGAACTTTATAACTTCAGTAAGGACTACTTAACAAGCTCCAAACTGAACACCAAGTATCTAGAAGACCAGATTGCACATCATCCTGAGACAGTCCCTTCAGAGAACTATTATGCTTATCATTTCGTACCGTTCCCTGAGTTCCGGTTCATTTTACTTGACGCATACGACGTGAGTGTCTTGGGTCTGGATACATGTTCCCCCAAATACCAGCAATGTATGAGGATACTGAAGGAGCATAATCCAAATGAGGAATTGAACAGTCCTCAAGGTGAATTATTCCTTTGAGCTGAGAATCTAGTACATTGTCTTTTAAGTTCTTCAACTACCTTTTATTCAGCAGGAAGATGCACGATTAAGGTAAAAGTATATTGTTGTTCAGGGTCAGGATTCACACTAGACTGATGTTACACAAATTTATTTGATTGATTGAAGATTCCTTTATGTAGTAGTTACACAAATGTGTATAGAGCCCTAGTGGTGTAGTGGTTTACAAGTCGGGCTGATAAACCACAAGATCAGTAGTTCAAACCCACCCACCGCAGGAGAAAGATGAGGCTTTTGGCTTCCCTAAAGGTTTACAACCTTGGGAACCCAGAGGGTAAGTTCTACTCTGTCCTACAGAATTGCTGTGAGAATTGACCTGATAGTGAGTTTTGTTTGTTTGTTTTTGTGTTTGAATGCTTACTCTCAGCTAGGCATTTTTTCTAGGATTAGTTATTTACATAGTTATTAAAAATATTCCTGTTTCCTGGATGAAGTGGGGAGTAAGCAGTAGTGAACAGGGCAGAGAACAAACAAGACTGTGTTCCCTAAGTGGTACGTGCTAGTAGGAAAACAAAGCAGGACAGTGTTCTAAGAAAGGGCTGGGACTCCTGTGTTGGAACAGGTGGTTAGGGAGAGTGTCTCCGAGGAAGCAGACATTTATGCTGAGCCCTGGATGACAAGAAGCAGCCGTCTCTGGGATCAACTGGGGCAGAGTGTGGAGGCCCAGTAGCTAAGCACTCTGTTGCTAACCCAAAGTCGGCAGTTCAAATCTACGAGCCCCATGGCAGGAAGATGGACATTCTGCTTCCAAAAGATGGACAGTCTGCTTCCTCTTGGAAGCCCTGAGAGGCAGTTCTGTGCCATTGTATAGAATTGACTGGGGGCAGTGGGCTTATAGTATTCCAGGCAGAGAAAAACAAATGTCAAGGCCCCGAGCAGAATAGGACTGTGGTATTTTTAAAGAACATAGAAAAGAGCCTGTGGATACAAGATGATTTGGCAGAGTAGATATGGAGCTAGGTCCTTGTTGGCCCAGGGAGGGGTTTATATTTTATTTAAAATGTATGGAATGGGAAGCAGCAGAATGCCATTTCTAGGGCTGAGATCAATCATAGTCTACAGATTGCTTTAAAACTCCTATAATTTCTTATCATAAGCTATTTGATCTTTAATACAAGGTTGTTGCCAGTCCCGCCAAGGGAAGAGTACATGTGGCTCAGTCTGAATGGAGCAGAGGGGAAGAAATGGGATTTGGTGGGTGTGACTTTCTCAGTGTATTTCAGGTCTGTCTGAACCCCAGTTTGTCCAGTTTAATGGAGGATTCAGCCAAGAACAACTGAGCTGGCTGAACGAAGTTCTTACGTTCTCAGACACAAACCAAGAAAAAGTGGTGATTGTGAGTAAGTACTTCAATAATTTATCTGATTACACCAGCCAGCATTTTAGGGAATGAGAAAAGTTAGGTTTTCTTAATTATATTGTGATGTCCCCTTTCCATAAAATGGATGCTTGGTGAGAATTTTTATTGAGAAACACCCTGAATTTCAGATTACTATTTAAGGTTGAATCATTAAAGCATTGTAAAGGAAGAAGAACATCTTGCTGTGTATTATCCCCTACGCCATCTACACATTTTATTTGCTTTACATTCCGTATGAGTAGTGAATTAAAAAGGGGTATTTAGATAAAAACATCATTTTATAGTATCAAATATTTCAATAAGGTAGAAGACTCTAATAACTGAGTTAGAAGGCTTAAATTGGCCTTTTAGGATTCAAAGTAGAATTTTCCCAAACAACATCAATTGATGTACTAATTTTTAAATCCAAAATTCCATTCAAGCCCAACTCAAGCACTGAGGCTTAGGAAATTTGCCACCACTCAGCTACCTCTGCTGAGGTAGAAGGGGGCCACCTCGGCAGGGAGGGGGGGCACAGGCTCCGCCCCCAGGGGGCACATTCAGCTTTCTGTCTACTGTAAGTTTGTGGAGAATGGAGATGCGTGTTGTTTTCATGTAGAATCGTATTTTGATGACATAGTGCCATCAGAGATTATAGGATTCTGAGGTGCTTAAAACACACACACACACACACACACACACACACACACACACACACACGAAGAGCTGCACTTTGATTTGAGTGGTATATGTGCAGTTTGGGCCTGAGGTCAAAGCCAGGGTTCTACATCTCATGGGGCATAATGGGTGAGAAGAGTCACAGGACTGGATGCCATCCTGCACCTCTATTTACATGAGGGGGCTTCAAAAAATTCATGGAAAAATTCTATTATCTCTTGATTTCATGTTTCCATGAACTTTTGGAGCCCCCTTGGATAAGCTCTGGGAACCTGGACACATAGTTAGTCTACGTGCTGAGATTTTCTCAGCGTTGCATCAGATGAAATAATCCATGTGAAAAGAATTAGAATGGTGAGGCTACTCAGGTGGTGATTAATATAAAATTGTTTCTGTGTATAAAAGTAGTTTTTATGTATTAATCTTGCAATGATCGTGGAAAGATATGTAGATGGAGTTGCAATGTTTCTGCTTTCTTTGGAATATTAAATGTCATGCAAAGTTTGCAAAATATCAGGGCCCCTCCCCGATTATTGGAATGTATGTGACACTATTTGATTCTGATGAAGGATCTCAAAAACTTTTATATGTCTGCTTTTTAGTTTGCCACTTTAGGCCCTGACCATTTACTTTAGAAAATACTAGAGCCAAAAGAAGCATAGGCCTCATGTAGCCAAACCCTTGTGTTTAACGCTAAGGGGCCAGAGATTGAACTACACAGCTACAATCCCACAGCCACTGACAGAAATGAGCCTCGAATCTGTGTTGTATCCCTACCCACCTTCCCACCTGAGCTCATATTCTTCCCTTGTATTTTTTTTCTGTTGTCATAGCAGCATCGAGTGCTAGTGTCTCTTCTGTTCTGCCTCCCATTTGTTTGTAAGTTAAGAAACTGGATCATTAACAATTGATTGTGGGAGGTTTTCTTGTAGTAAAGTTTACAAGGTGTTTTAGAAATCTTCGCAATGTATGCTTGCTTTGGTTTCCCCACTTTATTGGGGGCTCATACAGCTCTTATCACAATCCATTCTGCTTGCTTTTTAAACTCTCAACTTGGCTACGCAGAGGTCAGGTTGCCTCCTTCTTACGCTTCGGTTATGTAATTGGAAGGCTAGAATTGCAATGCACAAAACTGGGGGATGTGACAGAAGAAGAGGGCTTTGAAGGGAGGAGTTCACATTTGGATATATTCAGTTTTAGAAGCCTATTAAATATCAGCTCCCTAGTGGGACAGTGGATTAGGCATTAACTACAAGGGCTACTAACTACCAGGTTGGCGATTCAAGTCTACCAGGTGCTCCGTGGGAGGAAGATGAGGGTGTCTTTTCCTTAGATTTATAATCTTGGACACTCCATAAAAGGTCATTGGGGATTAGAATTGACTTGATAGCAGTGGGTGTAGCTCGGTATCAGACATCAGAAGCCTCTTAGACATTGGTGGAGATGTTGAGTAGACAGCTTAGACAGACCGATCTGAAATTCAGTATTGAAATTGGACTAGATCTCTACATGTGGGAGCTGAAAGAGTGTAGGTGATCTGTGAAGCTACGTTAAGCACTAACAGGAGACCACCCAGGCACTAGTGTGACTAGATAGAGGGGAGAAGTCCAAGGGCCTTCTTGATTGCACACTGGGGAGATGAGGCGAAACCAGCAAAGGAGATTGAGAATTAGGGGCTATTGGCTTCAATGGAAAACCAGGAGAGCCTGGTATCATGGCATCTAAGTGTTTTAAGGAGGAGGGAGCGATGACCTGTCCCGTGCTGTAGAGGTTTGGCCGATGGGTCCAGTAGTGGCTTCTAGGTACTGGGAAGTTCCACAGCCCCTTGGGACTCTTGACTCTTATTACAACTTGAAGGGTGGTTGTAGATGTGTGACTAGTAAGTCGCTTTGACTCTTTTTCTTGCTTCACCGGTCTGTAAACTGCTGACATTTTTCAAACTTAGGTTACAAACTAATAGTAAGCAAACCCATGCTTAAATTAGAAATAGAAAAAAGAAAAGGGGTTTCTTGGGCAGAAGCAAAGACCAGTGAGCTACAGAACCTGTTCTTTGGCGTGAAGATGGGGGCCTGAGATGGATGTGGGCATCACGAGTGAAAGGTGTCTTCACTCTGCCTGCCCATGTTTACTATGGTCCTAGAATCAACATCCCTTGCTTTTGATTCCGTTTTCTCATCTCTTGTACAGTGGACATGCCTAGCTCCATGTCATGGAGATGTTTTGAAGAAGAACTGATTTAAAGAGGCATGAACCATCTTGAAGGCACTAAGTTGATAAATGATATACAATCCATGGCCTCCTCCCTAAACTGTTCTTTACTCTGACATCTTTCTGTACACATAACATGCTTATCTGAGAAAATCAGTGAGGTTGGGTTCCAGCTTTGCACACCAGCCTACACAGGAAGCCCCCAGCGTTCGCACATGGTGACACTGTACGTAGATGTGTGCCTCTATGACATCTTCTTCCCTTTTTGAACTACCTGACCCATCTCTTAAGTGCTTCAGAAACTGTAGGTGGCATAGTTCCTAATGGATCCTCTCTGATTTCAGTCCATATGGGCAATGCACATATGAATTTCAGTCCATACCGACAGCGTACAGTTTTTTTCTGAGTACTGGCTTTTAGCTATTTGATGGAAGTGTGCTTTATGAATTGTTTCCAAACTCTCTTTCTCTCTAACAGGCCATGTTCCCATCTACCCAGAATCCTCTGACAGTGTGTGCCTTGCGTGGAATTACAGAGACGCGCTTAGTGTTATCTGGTCCCACAAGTGTGTGGTGTGCTTCTTTGCGGGGCACACTCACGATGGTGGATATGCACAAGATCCTTTTGGCGTGCATCACGTCAGTCTGGAAGGGGTCATTGAAACAGCGCCGGACAGCCAGGCTTTTGGCACTGTTCATGTCTATCCTGATAAGATGCTCTTGGAAGGGAAAGGCAGAGTGCCAAACAGAATTATGAGTTACAAGTAAGAAAAAGCTTCCCATGTGCAGGCTAATGTATTTTGTTTAATAAAACCTTTGTAAAAAGAGAATCACTTCGTTTTTGCATTTGCACATCTTCTACAAGGTACCCTCCCCCCCGCAATAATTCTCAATCCCATTGCTTTGTGTTTGTGCCTGCATAAAAAATGGCTTCATTGTTCATAAACTGTTCTAAAATGCCACTCAAGACCCAGCTTACTGCCATCCAGTTGATGGCCGACTCATAATGAGCCTATAGGACAGGGTAGAACTGCCCCTGTGGGTTCTGAAGTTGTAACTCTTTATGAAGGTAGAAAGCCTAGTCTTTCTCCCATGGAGCAGGTGGTGGTTTCAGACGGCTGACCTTGTGGTTAGCAGCCCAGCGCATACCCACTATGCCGTCAGGGCTCCAAAACAACAACAACAACAACAACACGCTCTCTGCCACCAAGTCGATTTTGGATAATATGCCCGTTGTTGAAATTAAGAAACAAAATGAACCAAGGGGTTGAGGGGTTGGTGGTAAGTATAGTTCTTAGCAAGAACTTCATTTAGCTTTGCATGTTTAATTTTTTCAAACATAACGGATTCATGTCTTACCTATGTAACTTAAATAGTAAAACAATGAAATAAGCTCATGCAAACTTTATCCTGTTCATCTGCTGTGTGAATAAATTTTGGACATTTTTTTGTCCAGAACACTTACCATATGGGAGTTTCAGGTGTGTAGTCTTCTTTAGAAAATGAAAAAAAATCTTTAAGACCCTAGACACTATATCTTTTGATAGCCGGGCACCATCAGCTTTCTTCGCCACATTTGCTTATGCACCCATTTGTCTTCAGCGATTGTATCAAGGAGGTGAGCACACAATGATATGATTTTCTGTTCTTTGATGCCTGATACCTGATCCCTTCAGCACCTCGTGATCACACGGGCTGGTATGCTTCTTCCATGCGGGCTTTGTTGCTTCTGAACTAAATGGCCACTTGTTTACCTTCAAACCTTTAAGACCCCAGATGCTATACCTTTTGATAGCCGGCCACCATCAGCTTTCTTCAGCACATTTGCTTATCCACCCACTTTGTCTTCAGCAATTGTGTCGGGAAGGTGAGCATCATGGAATGCCAATTTAATAGAAGAAAGTATCCTTGCATTGAGGGAGTACTTGAGAGGAGGCCCAATGTCCTTCTGCTACCTTAATACTAAACCTATAAATATATGCACATAGATCTATTTCCCCATCCTCATATATAAATATATTTGCATATGTACATGCCTATATTTAGATCTTTATAAATGCCCTTTGCCTCCTAGCTCTTTCATCTATTTTTTGACTTTCCTCTTGTCCCACTATCATGCTCAGTCTTCATTTGGGTTTCAGTAATTGCTCTTGGTTACATTACCCTTGATCACACCCTACCAGGCCTCCTACACCCTCCTCACCACCGATTTGGATCACTTGTTCTGTTGTCCCTAGGTTTGTTAACACCAGTACCTTTACCCCCACCTCCCCCTCTCCCATGTCCCCCCAGAACTGTCGGTCCCATTGTTTTCCCCTCCAGATTTTTCCTCCAGCCTATCTTATTTAGACAGACCTGCGGAGATAATAACATGCACAAAAACAAGACAAGAGCTGGGGTCTTAAAGGCTTGAAGGTAAACAAGCAGCCATCTAGCTCAGCAGCAACAAAGCCCACATGGAAGAAGCACACCAGCCTATGCGATCACGAGGTGTCAAAGGGATCAGGTATAAGGCATCATCAGAACAAAATTTCATATCATTGTGAATGATAGGCTGTGCAGGGATGTAGGGTCAGAGGAGCCCAGGGCCAACCCCATGGCTGCTGCTTTGGCAAGTGACACCAGACCTAAGGGGAGATGCTTTACATGTGGAGCAGAGAGACATTACCAGAGAGACTGCAAGCAGATATTTCAAAAGAACAGGACAATTCACAGCGGAAAAGACCCAGGGAAAGAGTCCAAGGAAACCGCACTTTGCCTCTGCTGCGACAGAGGTAGTCACTGGGCAGGGCATTGTCATTCAAAGTTTAGCAATAGAGGACAAATTGAGCTACTTACCATACAAAGTGGTAGCATGGGAAGAACTGGAGGAAATTATGCTAAGCAAAGTAAGCCAAGCACAAAAGAAGTACAACATGAGTCCACTGAGGTAAGTTTTAAAAATGCAAAAGGGACATAGGGAAAAAGCTACTGTATACAAACATTTCTGGGGTGAGGTCCAGGTAGTATGGCAGGGACCAGACCAAATCCAGGGATACATATGGTAGCCAATTAAAAAGGGGGGTGGGGGTGGGGGACATGGTTAGCAGGGGAACAGCACTAACCCACCCAAGGGGAGGGTATTATCTCCAACACAGGGAATCCAGAGTGGATGATCCCTTCAGGACCAGTGGTGGACGGTGGGGTGGAAAGGGGGAACCGATTACAAGGATTTACATGTGACCTCCTCCCTGGGGGGCGGACAACAGAAAAGTGGTTGAAGGGAGTCATTGGACAGTGCAAGATATGACAGAATAATAATTTATAAATTATCAAGGGTTCATGAGGGAGGGGGGAGCATGGAGGGAGGGGAAAAATGATGAGCTGATGCCAGGGGTTTAAGTGGAGAGCAACTGTTCTGAGGATGAGTGCAATGAACTTACAAATGTGCTTTACACAACTGATGTATGTATGCATTGTGATAAGAGTTGTATGAGCCCCTAATAAAATGATTAAAAACAAACAGACTTTGGAGTCAGGGTGTGGCACCCCATCAGACTCAACCGGAAAACACTCCTAAAGGTCACCAAATAGACCTTGAACTACTTAAAGGCTTTTTTTTTTTTGTCGTTGGTTTTGTTGTTTTGTTTTCTTTTGTTGCTTTGTTTTGCTGTCTTGTTTTTGGTACATAGTATTATCTCTGTAGGTCTATCTACATAAGATAGGCAGGATAAACAATCTGGAGGAGAAAACAACGGACCGATGGTTCCAGGGGAACATATGAGAGGGGGAGGCAGGAGAAA